GATATATTTTTCACTTCACCTGTGAAGTAAGCAGAAGAAAAGATTATCATATACTTCCAAGTCATTTCATTTTATACTAATAATGAAAGTGATTAAAATGTTGCTTAGAAAGTAAAAATGATTAAGAAGTAATATGTATATGTACCAATTCCCCAAGATGAATGTAATATAATAATATACAAGATGTATATAATAATTACATTCATGTATATAATATACAATGTGTATAATAATTACATTCATCTTGGGGAATTCGTACATATACATTTTGTAAACATATACTGATAAAAAATATATAGTTTGAAGCTAATCTTACTCATTATGCAATTTCGCCTCCATTCCATGAATATAGTAAATTGGTCATTCATCAAATAAAGGTTTGATATCTTTTTCCTAGATAATCTCTAAGGTATTAAGTAATTTTCCCTTCACATAGGCTTTTCAGAATATAAGTTTTCCTGAAACTGAAAATTCAGGAATTTTGTTTAAAAGGAAAGACTTTGTTACATACATCCATAACACCTAGGGACTTAAAACTCAGTTCTTTGATTAAAATAATAGTAATACTCTGGATTATGACTCTCCCTTACAGCAACCATCTATATTTTTCTATCTTATGGAATAGTTTCTGAAGGTTGATGATATTTATGGAATTAACTCTCAAGTGTGCATGATTTATAAACGACCCCAGAGACCTTTAGCATGGAATAATTTGGGTTTTGCTAAGACAGAAAGGTGAAAATCACAGTGACAAAGTAGACACCCCTGTAAACTGTCAAGCTAGAGCTCAAATCTTACTAAGCATTCAGCATCCGCTGTCCAAAGTAGTTTTGTTTCTCTCTACTCAACTATTAGGCAAGATGAAGAACAAAGCTAGAAGAGGTTTTTATATTCAAACTGCCATACTTGGCCTTATTTTAGATAAAAACAATGTACTATGAAGCCACTACAATGTAGAAAGAAGTAAAAGGTGAGCCACTAAAAATATCAAAGTCTGTTTTACACAGGCTAAAACAGTGCCAGCTAATTGAAAAAGCCAGATAGTTGTTTTGGAAATGATAAAAATTGTCAAAAAGTTGATTAAAACTTAAGGTCAAAAGACTTATGCAAGTAAAATTAAAATTTTCATTTTTGTAGTGACTGAATCAGATTTTATGTTTGGCCTTTGATCAGTTGGTAATGAGTCATTTGATTGGTATTCTAATAATTTCTAAATTAAAATTTATAAATGAAATGTGAAACATTCTATACCCCCAAGGTTTAGAGAAATTACTCATATAAATTCTACTTCGTTTCCAAAATGATTAGATATGCATGGAGAATAATTTAACATTTATTACTAGACATAATAAGTCAAAATCATTTGCTTTGCAAAAATAACTTATCTGAGATTTGAAAATAATGGTCTTCGTTGCTTTAAAACTTTCTGCACCTGCAGTTTACGTAAAACTCTTACAGTGCAGTTATGCTTGTTATTAGGTGAGGATTCTGTGATGTCCTTCACCCTAAGTTGGAATTTTTATTATGCCCTGGAAAGTAGCCTGTCATCATGTCTGCTGATTTCAAATTCTGACAGCAGGCCCTTCCCTTGGGCTGCTGAGGAGAGCTGTCAGTGACATTTCTCTGCCAGAGACAAACTAGCCTGTCCATGTTGGACAAGCACTGTGATTTAAGGTTTGCCTACTTAAAAATAGTCAAGAGTCAATGTCCTCTTGAATTTTGGTTTCTTTTCTGCAAATAGCAAAAGACATGCTAATGTTTTGGGTGATGGCTCTACATCGAGGGCAAATTGCTTAGTTTTATAATAAGAAGCTGAACTTCTTAAAGCATTAAAAATGTGATTTCTCCTTTGCTTTGGGTTGGGAGAGGGGGAGAAGTAGTAGCCAAAAATAAAAAGAAAGCAAGTAATCACAAGAGAAATAAGCCCTTTTCTTTCTGTTCTTCTATTGTTTATCTGTCCTCTAAAACATTCAGTTTTCAAAACACACATGAAAGAAGTCTCAAGAGTTATCACTTTGTACATCATGTTACACTAGAATGAATTCTTTCCAGATACAGATTTGCTGCTTTTTTCAAATGAATATTTCACTTTCTGAAAATGCAAACAAAACACCTGTGTTGAAGCCTGCTGCATCCAGCTACAGCCTGGACTGTGTCTGTATGACCTCGCATAATCACCCATATCCCTTAATTTTCTTACCTCTAAAGATGGAAAGAAGCTTCCATGCAGCCATCTCTAGGTAGTGACTGTTCGTGTACAAGAGAGCCTTCTGTAGGCCAAGGAGCCCCGCACAGGGAAGTTGTAAAGCTCTTCTTAGCAAAGCAGGTCCAGACTCTCCTAAGTGACATTCCCAGGAAACTAGGGGTTCTCCCCTTGGGCAAATGGGAATCGTGACCCGAAGCATTCAGCCAGGCTATTTGTGAGCCTCCTCTGTGGCATGTGAACTAACAGAAGACTCAAGGCAAATACAGGAGTTTAATCTTTGTAACTGGTGCACACTGAGAGGGACTGAGTGTGTGCTCCAGAGCCCTGGACCAGACCACAGTGAGCTTTATCACCAGTACTTCCTGTCATCTACAACGTTGCCAGTCTCCCTTACATAGATCCCCAGGTTTTATTTTTCTACCCCTCCAGTTGTTTCTAGATTATACCTGAATACAAGGATTATACCTAAGGCTCTCAAGCATTTGTCCCTTGCAGCACAGGGTATAAAAGTTCATGTTTATATGACATAACTGCTCTTCAGTTTTAGTGTTATTTTTTGCTCCTAAATAAGTATAGAGGTGCTAGGGCATCTGCACTCTCTTGGTGCTACCCATTCTCATTCCCTGTACCCAGCATCTTGAAAGAAAAATGCACAGTGAAGTTACCTCCGATTCCTTTTAGGTTAGGATTTTAAACAAGAAGACCGATTTTAGCAAAGTTCAGTCAAGATGTGGTTCCAAGGATAACATCAAACATTCTGCTGGGGGCGGAAATGTAAGTAGAAGCTTCTATCAGAAAGCTGTTCTGATTGTGTAGAATCAGCTGCACAACCAGCATCCTGTCGCCTCTCCTGCCTCCTTCCCAGCACACTCCTGCCCTCTCACTGCTGTCCCACGTTTCACCTGGAGTGGCAGTTTGTCAGGCTTGCACTTGGGGTGAGGAGCTTCCCGTCCTGTCCTTGCAATCACCGGTGGACTCACTTTCTTGCAGGGGTGCACCATGATTTTCCTCAGGATGCAAACCCACCTCACCTAAAGCTTTGTGTGTGGGCCGTTTTGTCTTCTATCTGTTCCCTCCTGCTGTCTCTGTTTTCCTGTAACAATTAGCTGGACTCACACTTTTCTAGTTGTGCTTAAATCATCCTTAGGGCAAAAACTGATGATATACTTGAAATGCCCAACATGTTTAATGTCAATCTTCAGCAGTTCATTATTCATGAAAGTTAGGCTATCATTTGGAATTATACCAAACTACCAAAGTGTGCTTCATCTATAATTTAAAGTGAGAGGATTCAAGTTCTAGTGTACAAGTTATCTTGATGGGATTTTTCCTGTCCCTTTTATTTAGTGGAAATAATATCTCAGGAGAGGAAGAGAAGGATGAATCCACATTTTGCAAGTGTGGCTGAGGCATAGTTGGAAGGGTCAGGCAAAGTCAAACTGAAGGAAGCATGGTTCCTCATAAAATAGGGATAATTTTTTAAAAGTGAATCATGTTGACTGTTCTACAGATCCCATCATCTAAACCAAGACTTGATAATCTGTGACTTGAATAATTTATAGGGTATCAAATCTAGATTTCTCAGAAATCACAAGCTAGCTCTTGGCTACTTGTTCCTCAGCTGGGCAAATTGGAGTCAAACAATGAGAAGAAAGAGATAAGCAAGTGTCTCTGCTACCTGATGATCAAAGAAGCTCCACTGGACACAAAAATAGCATGGTCAGCGGAAGCCCCTAGCAGTGCTTTTGTGCTCCTTTGAGGACACAGAGCTAAGCTTAGGGTTAATATTGACATTGACACAGTTGTCCTCCACCATAGTTCCCTGACTGTAAATGCACACCAGACACTGCTCTCACACTCACAGTCACCGGCTAGTGGTTGTCTCGAGGGTATCAGAGGATGCCGTGGTGTTCTGTGCTGCAGATGTTGCTGGTCAAAACAATGGACAGTGGATAAGTCGGGGTGATTAAGGATCATACAGCTAGTAAAAGCTTCCAACCCACAAAACAATCATCTTAAACTTTCCTCTAGGAAAGAATCAGTTATTTAAATACATGGGTATCCTGGCTTCTCCCTTTGGCATCTAATTCCCATGTACTCCTCATGCAGATGGACAGTCTACGTTTTTCAAAAGCATAGCTTCAGATATTAGGAGAGAACACAAGTTCACTAAAATATTAAAAAAGAAAGCATATTGCTAGCACATAATCTGGTATGCAAGCAAAGCTCCATTTAGCCAAGATATTACAATTTCATAACAGGTTAGGAAAGCACATTTAACAACTTTTTTCTTCTTGTGTCTTAAAGCGTTGTTGCTCTTCTTGCAACCATGAGCAAAGTTGGTCACTGCTATGGAAAACTCACTTTATAAAAAAGAATCTATCACTTCTCTTGGCTTTTTGCTTATGAAAAGTTTTAACACCATGTGGCTTAGTTCTCTGAGTGGAAGCTTGCCTCATTAATGCAAATGTTTCTACCTCCTTTGATCTGTTTTCTACTAAAAAAAATTTCTATTCCAGGATTTTTACTTATATAAATTCTTCTTTCCAACCCAAATGGGATGGGGGAGGGGGATATATAGGAAATTATGTTTTCCTGTTTGTGTTAATGTGTGTGTGTGTGAGAGAGAGAGAGAGAGAGAGAGAGAGAGAGAGAGCGAGAGAGAGAGAGAATATGGGGAGAGCTGGTTTCTGGACATGGATTTGTTGTGCTTGTATGTTTTTAGATTTTGTGTGTGAGCTTGAAGGTTTTTCCATGCCTAAACTATTTTGTGTGCTTTATGTGGCTGACACAGGTACAGATTGTTACCAAGAAGATAGATTTAAGCCATGTGACATCTAAATGTGGCTCTCTGAAGAACATACGCCACAGGCCAGGTAAATACAAGAGTTTAGTAGCATGACAGTTATTTAGTCAGATTCAGGAAATTGACAAGCAATCTTTTTTGTCACTGTTGTGAAAACCAAAGTGGATGAATCTTTCAAATCCCTGATCCTTCATGTATTCATTAGTAAATACTTAAAAAAAATCTTAAAGCATCTTCATTTGAGACAAATGTGCTCAATAATCATTAATAGGCTTCACATAATGCAATGGGCTAAAAATTAAAAGTAATATAAGATGCATGTGTTTCTATGTTTGCAACATGTTTATTGGAGCTCTTAAAAAATATGTTGCTTGTAAAATATGTTTGGGTCATGTATTCCTGTATAACTTTAACTAAAAAAGTTATTGCGGGATGTTTTTCCTGAATCATTTTCTACATTCTGTAAAATAAGGTTTTTTTTCTTAATTTAATTTAATTTAATTTTTTGAAGTATAAAAACAAGTAGGAAAAAAAGACAGAAACAGGGTAGCATACAACAATACGTATGTTACAGATTTTCAAAGCAGGAATAGCTAATTAACAGTGGTTGTTATATCATCTACTTTTATCATCAAATGCTCAGATTAACAGATATAGTTATGCAAGATTGGACACATAATTGAATATTAGCACTTACTTTTTAAAAAATCTTAATTTTTTTCTTGTCTTTTTAAAAAAAATTTATTTTAGAGAGAGCATAATAATTGATAAGACATTAGAAATGATACACATTTAGAAGATCAAGATGAGAGGTACAATAAGGTTGTGTTTACCACAACAGAACAAACTATTCAGCTGATAAATTTCTCAGATCCTTTATTAATTCAATAAGTGCTACAGTCCTCAAGAGAATACAGTGTTTCCACAATTTATGTAACCATTGACCTCTTTAAAAAAAAAATACCTCATAAGACTTGTGCTCTAAAATAGAATTTACAGTCATATTTCCTGGGAGTTTATCTCTTTAAAATACAACTCTGGGCCAGGGAAATAGCTCAGTGGCATAAACACCTGCCTGGCAAGCACAAGGTTGTAGGTTCAATCCCCAGTATCAAAAAATTAAATTAAATTAAATTAATTTTAAAAAATAAAATACAAATCCAACATGTTATGAGTCATTTCTTCTGAGTATCATGTAATACTTTTGCTGAATTCTACCCACACTCCTATGTAATAATGAATAATTGTGAAATCCATAATTTTACAGTATTCTGACATTATTTATTTATTTTTTTAATTATTATTTTTTCTTTTCAAAGTTTTATTGATAAACATATAGCAATGAGACAGTTTCAAATCAAATCGAAAGTACAGTTTTAACAAATAATACACTGCATATATTCTTCTTAGTGGTTAATTGCTGTACAAGATGCAGACTTGTGATCCTACTTACAAATCTGACATAATTTATATATCCAGTTGTACGATGCTAGGACAGAAGGAAAGTAATCATGACTCTAACCACCTGTGCTTGGAATCTTAACATTAAAACTAGATAATACCTTATTTCCATTCATCATTTTCTCAAAATTTATCAGAAACAAAGTATAAAAATAATTGAACTGAATAAGATATTTCTATCCAAAAGGAGATCAATAAGAATTTATTGGTTGAAAACAAAGATGAGAAAGGTAAATTCACAGTAGAAAAACAAGTTAGAAACATCAGGAAATCAGGTGTCATCTCGTTGAAGATGCTCAGAAAGAAGCGGAGGAGTTGGTGAGCACACACAAGAGTGCCCGCAACTAGTCCCAGAATTGCTGGTATAGAAGTAGCGTCAGTCCAAAGCAGCAGCAACCTGTCCGCGCTGCACATTTCATAATTTCCCCAACTCTCGCTGAAGTTTACAATTAACTTTGTACTGCTCCATCTACCTATGGCTCTGGCATCTGACCCCAATGCCTGTTTGCTTGCAGAACACAAAAGAAAGTGCTAGATTCTTTCAGTTTGGGTAACAAGGATAGAGTTAGTCAAATGCATCTAGGACTTGACAACACAGAAAAATAAGGAAATATTCTGCATATGATTTTCTGGTCCTAAAAGACTGTTGTCATCAACTACCACTTATTTCTAAATCTAGCTCTTGCTTCTACTATGACTAAATCAAATAACACAGTTCACAAAGAAGTGTAATGTGATGGTCACTGACAGTAGCAACCTTTTCACAGAGTTAGTTTGGAACATAGACAATCTAGGGAAAAAGTAAAGAAAATAGCCCAGCTCCTGGAGGCACAGACTGACATTTCTGAATTTTACTTCTGAAGTTTCATAAAAACCATACTCTTTCAAAATAACTGCTTACCATGGATGCTAGAGTTCTTCAAAACCAAAAGTACAGATCTATGAATTTGGGTTTCTCTAAGAATTATCTAAGAATTTCATCAGAAATTCTCTTTCAATAGAAACAGACTATACAAGTCCCTGAATACCTTTTGGGTCAACATTACGTTATTATGTTTTCCTCTCTACAACTATTCAAAGAAAACATGACATTTATATTGATAAAACACATAATCAGAAAAAAGCTTAAGAATGTAAATTCAATAAAGACTGTCACAAAAAATTCCAAAAGAAGATACCAAAAAAATTGATAGCTGGTTGAAAGTCCAATGTCTTCTAACCTCTATTGAAGATAATTGTGTTTTTAGAAAACATTATGAATCCCATCATACCCCATAAGTGAGACCCACAGGCAGGTAAGAATGTGGGGAAAATAACACTCCCTGAAAGGATCTGTACTTTGAGGGAAGAATAACTACATGTCTCTAGGAAGCATGAGTTACCTAACTGTATGCATATCCTGAGTCTTCAGGAGAGTGAATCTATGGTTTCCAAAATATAAATCATTAATACTTTAGAATTTGAAGAGGCCCCTGGCAGGCATTTGGGAGTGAACATAAATATTTGTGTGATGCATGAGAAAAACATAGCAGGGTTCAAGAGACCTGTGAAGCCTTAATAGACTTCTGTCTTTGGTCTACAGAGAAATGCAAATACCAAGAATCCAAAACTTGGCAATGTTATCTTCCCATAGATCCCTTCAGACAATTTTCCTCAATCAGAATCCCAGTGAAATGCAAATAGAAGGTCATCATCTACTAGTAGCCTCCTAGAAGAATGCATATCATTGAAACCCAATAGCTGATGAAAATGAACCAAATCTTTTAGGTGCATATGGAAAAAGAGAAGGTTAATGCAGCTTCTTCTCGAGTCAAACATATCACGAACACTCAACAGTAGTCAAAGGAAGGACTCAAGGACAACAGAAATCTACCCAATAGAGCAGATGCCCTCTGTGTAGCACCTGAAAAAGGCAAGCATAAATGAGGAAGGCCTCAATAGAGATTAGAGAGCTGGCCGAAGGGAGCACCCTGACAACTAGTAGAGCCTCAAATTTCAGTCTAGTCAGCACTAGGCTAAAATGCCCTCCGTGTTATCAGGTCAGATCCGTGTCAGATTGGTGCTATGGAATCTGTAGAAGAATTTTCTACGATTCTTTTCCCTTCGTGTGCTAGCTACAGTGAAAAGATCTTGAAACCTACTAGTTATAAACAATCTGGCTCCAGACTCAATCATCAGAGAAGTTATCGATGCTGAGAATTTACAAATGCCAATGGTCATCACTCACTATTCACGGAAGACAGGCTCCAGGACTGCCTGCAGATATCTAGATATGTGGAAGCCCAAGTCTGTCATACAAAATTACATAGTATTTGCATAGAAACTATCTATATCCACCCATAAATTTTAAATATTCTCAAGAATACTTAAAGTTCCTAATACAATATAAATTCTTCTTTTGTTGTTTAATGACTGATCATAAGAAAAGTCTGCACACATTCAGTACCGATGCAACATTTTTTCTATAAACTCAAGGATGCAGAATCTGTGGCCAGAAAGAGCCAACTTCATACTGTCTGTCTGAATGTGCACCATTCTAGCTTCAAACTTCTTTAGATAAATAGTCTGCTACCATGAAGAAGAAGAATAAAGCAGTCTCTTATCTCAATTTAATTCACTCTACTTAATAATAAAAGACTATATATTCAAAGTTTCAGACAGGATATTGAATTGATCATTTATTGTGTAACATTTATTTATTTATTTATTTATTTATTTATTTGTGTGTGTGTGTGTGGCCAGCTCAGCCCACCTGGAGGCGGGGTTGGCTGGCATGTGGTGCTGGGGGATTGAACCGCGGTCCCTGCGCTTTGCTGAGCTTGTTCTAAGTAGGTGTTTTAGACCACTGAGCCATCTCACCAGCCCTATTGTGTAACTTTTAGAGCTTTTGTTATATCAATAAGAAAAAATATTCTGATGTCTAAACTATACATAGATTAAGAAAAAGGATATTAACATATGATGCAATTTGTAGAAAAATGATGGTAGAATAATGTCATTTTTTTGGATCATTGGGGAAAATCATACAGACTACTACAAAAATCTATGAGATATCTTTCACATCTGTGTTCAGAAAGGTAGTAAAGTTAATGCCCATAGTCTTCCTTCATCTATTTGTTGTACCCATTTTAGGGAAATTGTCATCACAAATGTCAGCTTTAATTTTAGCAAGGAATTTAAAAGCCTTTCTCCTCTCAAAGGTGGTGGACGAGTGAAAATTGAAAGTGTAAAACTGGACTTCAAAGAAAAAGCCCAAGCTAAAGTCGGTTCACTGGACAATGCTCACCATGTACCAGGAGGTGGTAATGTCAAGGTAAGCCAGGTGTGTGTTTTTAGAAAAAAAAGAAAAAGAAAAAAAATGGTGAAGCACAAAGTGGGTCCCAGATTGAAGATCTAGAGGATCGAAGAGGTGGGCTGGCAGAGCTGAGCAGAAATCACATTCACACCGGCTCGGGATGCAGGGGAAGGGCTGGGAAGCCACTCAAGTGTCTAGTTAATGAGGACTGGTGTTTTCTTGAACAGATTGATAGTCAAAAGCTGAACTTCAGAGAGCATGCGAAGGCCCGTGTGGATCACGGGGCTGAGATCATCACGCAGTCCCCAGGCAGATCCAGTGTGGCATCCCCCCGCCGGCTCAGCAATGTATCTTCTTCTGGAAGCATCAACCTGCTCGAATCTCCTCAGCTCGCCACGCTGGCTGAGGACGTCACTGCTGCGCTGGCCAAGCAAGGCCTATGAATCCTCACTTAGCATCTGAGTCATAATACTTAGGCATGAGCTCGTGGCAGGTGTGGGCTCTGAGCAGGTGTTACATTCATTCTTTACAAACCATACGATAAATAATCTCATCCCCAAACTGTAGTCATTGTTACAATTTTATATAAAAATGAATAGTATATGCAGAAATCGACTTCCATTTGCAGCAAGAACACACTGGCTTTACATGGGTACAATTGGACAGTTATTTTCGCTCTGCTCTGTTTTGCATGGAGTATTATTATTATTATTATTTTTAAAAATGCATTTTTATCTTTCATGTGCCTGAAGGCTACCCACCACACTCTGAAAGGCCTTGTTAAAATCCAAGCTGCTCATTTCACTGTTCTGTTTCTGGGTGAAAAGGTAAAAACTGCCATCGTAACTTATTACAGGTTAAATTGAATCAAGGAATCTTGATTGCAGGATGGGAAGGGCATGTAAGAAAGAGGTTTTTTTAAAGTGTTATTTTGTATAAATGGGAAGAAAGATTCAGTTAAGTTATTAACATTTGGGACCTGGATAATTATATCAGAGTATCAATCCAATAAATTATTTAACTAACTAAAAATGTTACAAAGCATTTGAGCTGTTATTGCAGAAATTGTACAAAAGTGCATCTCTAGGAGTGATGTGCTTTCATTAGGATGGATTCATGTCTGATTAGAATGTCAGTTGATCAGCTAGATTTATGTCCACACTACCAGTTCCACACTCCTTTCCATCTGTTTGATACAGTATTATAGATATAAATATATATATATATATTTCTCTGTGGCCATTTGTGATATTTCCTCATATACTTGAATATTATACTTTATTCACAGTATCTGTGTCTCCTGCACCCTTTGGTGTTGCAATTTTAGGTATGTGAAAGTAGATGTTAGCAGGGTTCTCTCCCTATTTAAAAAATACATTAAAAAAGACGAAAAGTTTTAGCATGAAGTTGCTTTCTGTAACAATTCAAAGCTGTAACCCTGTTTTAGTGCCAGATACAAGTCTCTCCCGTGATACTAGGAAAAAATATTTTTCTTTGCTTTCACCAACATGAAGTCTGTGGTGGTGGGTCCAGGTATAGATAAAAGGGTTTACAGATTGTTGGTTTAAGATTATGGATTTATTTCAGTTTTAATCACAAATAGTTTGCATTTTATTCCTATAATCATTCATGAGATGAACCTCTTAAGATTCTTTTTCTCTTTTTTTTTTTTTCTTCATTTGCTAAAGTTGAAAATATGAGTGGTAATTTGGGACATGTTTTCCCATTCTTCCAAATAGTTCCTGTTTTTATTAAATTCTGTAATAGAAAATGTTTGGCCTCCTAATTCAAAGTAAAGATCATTCAGTCAAAAAGAAAAAACAAAGCATTTTGAGAAATTATCACTGTAAAACATTTGAGACACAGATATCTAAATCAGTTTTTTCTATAGGACTTTGACATTGCACTCTGTAAAGGAACTCGGTGTGACATCTTTATTTATCAGTAGATAATACTGTTCTGACTTAACATACAATCTATAAATTTTAAGTCAGTTAATTAATTCCACTTGCAAATCATTCATCTTAGCAGTGAAATAGTCAAAGGTCTGAAAAGCATAGAGTTACCAAACTGGATGGACACTTTTCAGCATTTTATCTGTTCTTTCTCTTGCTTGGGGCTGGTAGGCTGGATCTAAATAGTTAAAGACAAGGTCTGCTGGTCTTTGAGCCTTGTAGGACAAATTAGTTTCTGAATAAAAAGGATGCACTGTAAGCGTAGACTGGACAGTAAAAAAAAAAGTAAGAAAAACCTAAGATACAACCAAGGAATGCAAAGATAGAAAACAAAAGCTGACATTTTGATCAGTCATTGGTTGGCTATCACAAGAAAATGACTGTCACAAGAAAAAACTAGGGATGAACTTCTCCATTCTTTCTCAGTTAGGAGATTTAAACAGGCAAATATGTCTCAGGTCATGTCTAAATAGGTTATTTTTGAAAAAAAAACTTAGCAATACTGGGAATTAGGGACATGACATTTTCACCCTAGAAATGCTGTGAGACTTGAATTGATCAGTCTTTGCAATTTATTCATCACCTTCCCTTAAATGCACCAGGAAATAGGAGAAAGAATAGTTGTGTGGAGAGTTAGGTATGTTCTTACATGTTTTGATAGTGTTATGTAGCGATTGAGGTTCTCTAGAATAAAGTTAATAGCTGGCTAGAACAGCTTTAACCGTGAAAAATTTTTTTCAACCTGGTTTAATTTTTTTTATAAAAGTGAAGACTAAGTGAACATGTTCTACCTATTAAAGTCCAACTTTTCTAAAGACATACCCAAAATAAAAGTTACTGAAGGCACTAAGTTAATAGATTTGACATTAAAACTAGTGTTTATTCCTAATCACACAAGAAAATTACAGTGAATAAGTACTCTTATTTTGTATAAAATGTCATTGTTTATGAAATTAATAAAAATGAACTGAAAGTTTGCACCAGTAAAGCGAGAGAGACACAGGCTAAACTGTCTTTTTGTGGGGATGTGTGGCAGATCCCATCTTACCTTTACTCTCAAGCTAACGACTTAAATTAAGCTTTTTGAACACCACTTTTGTGGGGACACACATACGCTGATCTAGAAATGAAAGCTTCCGAGTTCCATTTCTAGATCTACTAATGCCAGTTTCTCTCTGGCTTTAGCCTTTGAGAACCTGTTTAAGACTCCATAAGTAATCCAGAGCTGTGAAGAGTGAAAAGGCCAACTTCTCCAAAGAACTCAGTCTTCTCGGGTCACCTGCAACTAAAAATTGGATACCGTGCAACAGTGCAGGGAAGACCGGAGCTCCTGATGAGTTTCAAAGGCCAGGTTCATTGAGGAACCAATGAACCCGCTCTCTCTGGATTCACCTGCTGAGTTCCAGCAGGGTGATGGGCTGAACCCCCCCCCCCATAAGCAAGACACCTGTGTAGTGCCAGGTAGGTATGGCTGAAAAAGGCTAAAGCTAGATGCCATCGCACGGAATACACTGATGGTAGCTGGTCTCCACACACACTCATAGGACTGCAGAAGCGGGCTCAGCAGCCAAAATAGGCCACAGTGTCATTATTGTTAAAGAAATAGTCTGAATGTGGTTGATTCTGCCACAGCTACAATTACTGTTTTTCTCCTATTCTTTTAGGCCACAAAAAAGAAAATAAATGATTCATAGTCTAAGTAGGAAACGTAAAGTAGATTCATGGTTCAGGAAGGCAGATTCCAGGCATTCCTTTTAAGACTGGTGTGCTAAAATCAGTATGGATGTTTGGTTTTGGGGCTTTGTTTATTTTTTAAATCTAGAATTTTTAGCCTGAGTGTGTAGGTTGAGGCCGAGTCCCTCTGCAAGAAAAAGATTATTTTCAAACTCGAAAAATGTCAATCATAAAAGTCCACTTCAACTTTAGCAAAAAGAAAAAAAATCAACAAAAAAAGTTTACTCTGTATGCTGGGATTCCAGGGTTCCAACAAGCCATTACAAATCTGTGGGGGGTTTCTTTCTTCTGATAATTCTAGAGCCTGTTACCATAGAAAGGCGTTTCTTCAATGGCTGGTTGTAGTTAGTTCATGTTTTTCAATCAAATTTGCAAATGTATTTGTTGCTGTATAGTGATTGTTTTGCAAAATAAAATTGCTTGTCACCTCATGGCTAGTTTTAGTTTTTTGTTTCTTCATTTTAAATGAGCATCTCTCTCTCTCTCTCTCTCTCTCTCTCTCTCTCTCTCTCTCTCTGTGTGTGTGTGTGTGTGTGTGTGTGTGTGTTTGTGTGTGTATGTGTTCCATCCAATTAAAAAAACTTGTGAAAAAGAAAGTTACCATCTGCTGAATTCTTATGATATGCTGGGCAAAAAATACTAGGCAATGTTGTATTAACTCATCTAATTGATTAAGGGATTTGTCTCTTATCACAACTGTATTTACAGAATGCTATCTGTTGCCAGTGGCAGAAACTCAAATTAAACTGGCTTATATAGGAAAGTTGAATTTATTGGCTCAAGCAGCCAGTTAGCTGAGTATGTCTGTCTCAGCCATGGTTGGATCTAAGCACTCAAGAGATGTTAGCAAAAACCCTTCCTTCCCCAACTCCAAATTCTCACATTCAATAGAAGCTAACAAGAAACTTTCTTGTCCCTAACTGTTGGTTCTATTTTCTCTATGCTTCGATCTCAAGCAGGCACAACTTCCATGATAGCACCAGAAGCCCTCAATTTTGCATCCTGCCTAAAAGAGTCTCTTTCTCAATAGCAGCAGCCAAAATGCAGGATCTGAAAATTATTACACTACTGGGATCACCTACCCAGTTATGCTCATGAGCCAGGTTGTATCACAGGCAAGACGCTGAAGGTGGATGGGTAGGTGGAGCTCAGGGAGAAAGGTCTCCTTAGAACTAATCATGGAGTGGTGACTCTTCCAAAGTGACGTCAGGCTGCTCCTACTGGAAGAGTGAGGAAGTGATCCATATAGGTCATAAAGACAAGCATCTCCCACATGCACACAACCTGTTTTCTGTCTTTATTCACCTTCTGGTTCCTTGCTACACACATTGAGTACACACCTTACTTGAAAGCACAGTAGAAATGTAAATTCCCTGGCTCCAAGCCAAACCAACTAACACAAGTTATAATCTACCTAGATAGAAAAACGTTGCCCATCCCACACTCTAACATAAAAAAATCTTCCTAAAGACTATTTGAGACAATATCAGTATCTCTGGTGTCAAGCAGTTGAGGTAACAGTGGTAGGAAATTGCCACTGGCAAAAGGAATATTTATGTCCTAGGTGCTTGATGTCCCTCAAGCACCCTAGCTCGGCTAACACCTTCTCTACTAATCACCTCATCACTGCCCTTTCAGTCTTTGACTAATAATAAAGATTTGACATAGTCTAGCCAAAATCACTGGGATTTCCTTTTAATAATCTTTAAAATGAACAACTATGCAGACCTTCAAAGAGAGCCTTTAAAAACTTAAAGAATTAAGACATTTCAAAAGAATAAACCCCAATAAAGGTCTTGATCCCCATTTTTTATTAACAGGCATGATGCAGGATGACAGGAAAAAATTCTGTGGCTTGTATCTTCCTCTTCTTATTTATGAAATGCCATGTGGCAATCCAACTCAGGACCTTGCGCTCACCAGGCAAGTGCTGTACTGCTGAGCTGTATCCTAGCCCACCACTTATATTTAAAACAATTGACTCAAATAATTTGGAAACAGAACACTATCAAGAGTACATAGTCTAGGGCTGGGGAGACAGTTTAGTGGCTTAAGTGCCTGCCTGGCAAGCACAAGGTCCAGAGTTTGAGCTTCAATACAAAAAAAAAAAAAAAAGTATACAGTCTAGCAACTTGTTTTAAACACCAGTCCTTTACCAGTTTTTCTGGGGCATATAAAAGAACGATCAGGACTGCCCCAAACCCCCCCCCCCCCCCATTTTTCTCCCTTGTCTTTTCATCATAAATATAGCTCAGCACCCCTGCTTCCACTCTTTGCATTCTGCACTATGAACAATGTCCTGAGTTGAAGCAATGGAGCTGTAGGCCTCTGCTGTGCTACACATGGGCTCCATGACAGCTTCAAGTTCAAACACACACATGTGCACATGCGCACGCACAACAGGTTTGGATCTTCTTGGGAAGTTAACAGATTCGTCTACCCTGGGGCTGCCTTCCCTCAAGGTAATGACCAGCTGAGCCTGGTCCCTGCAGCCCCCTCTGTTGGGCTCCTTCCCTGCATTCGCCACATACCCTGTCTTAGGTGCTGCTTCTCCCTCCAGAGCCACTGTGTCTACTTTCAGATTGCTGGAGGCTCTACGATGCAGATTTTGGGTTCTAGCCCCCGAAATGAACCCCTGTCTTTCCCTCCCTCCCATGCAATTTCTTCCTCATTCTGTGAAACAAATGTTACCTAATTGGAAAAAAATAAAATAAAATAACTTTGAGAAAGCACATTAGTTTTGACAGTAACAACAGGTAATTTCCATGTGCCCTATAAAAACATTTAAGATCTGCTTATGTATATCATTAAGTCAAGGTAAAACAAAAATTACAAAGGAACTTCTCTCTATTTTGCCATATTATGATAACAAAACTTTGTTATCAAGTAAGAAATGATAAAATTGTCTTATTTAGTAGCCTTGAATATACATAATGCTTTCCTATTACTTTTAATAGCCATGAAAATTTAAAAAAAAAAAAAAAAAGAATGTTCTGGCCTAGTGAAGTGAGTGTGACTGTTAAACTCAGCGCTGATCTCCAGGCAGCAGACTCTCATTCAGCTGATTAAGTAGCTGGTGGAAGGACTTGCTGCTCCCCAGCTCCTCCCCTTCCCATTGCCTGCTTTGACCACTGGACACGGCCATGCTGAGCTCTATGGTGATCCTCTGGGCTGTCACAGTGCAGAGCCTCCAAGATTCTGCTCCAGACCCTACAAAGTTTTACCTTCCAGGCCTCAGGGACTTCTGCCCTCCCCACAGCACTCTGAAGGACTGGCCTGAGTCTCACCAGCAGCTACAGGAAGCTTCGATGGGCACAGCAGAAGGTCTGTGTGGGTGCCTGGCAGCCTGCTGACCTGCCAGCCGCGGCTGCTGCTTGCCCACTTCTGTCCCTGCTTTGCCCTCCCTAGGTCCTGCCACATCAGAAGACTGGAACCTCAGGAGGAAACAGTGCTCTGGTGACATCCTGATAGGCAAACTCCTGGCACTCACAGAATCATAGCTTGACCATGATCACCTGTTATCAGTGCCAGCTTCTCCCAGGCCTTTCACGTGGCTGCTGATGGAAACTGTCACGCCCACAAGACTGAACTCAGTGTAAGATACACAACAGGTGCCACAAAGGCGACATGGATCCTAAGGCCAACAGCCAAAGGAAGTTATAAGCAGTTTATGGTCCCCATGGGGTGATTTGGGGCTAACAAATGCCTAAGGTAAGGACTTTCTGTATTCTGAGAATTTATCCTCATTTTAAACTCCACCCAAAGCCCAACTGTTGTTGATATTAACAATATATACTGGCCAATAGCTCAGTGGATTGAAGTCCCTGCTTAGGCAGAGCCCAGGGGCCAGGGTTCCAGCTGGAGTGTCGTGCTGACCCTGCCCCCGGGGCACGCTGAGATTTGAGACTGGGCATGGTGACACAGGCCTGTAATCCCAGCTCTTTGGGAGGCTGAACACAGGTGGATCACTATGAGTCTGATCTACAGTGGGACCCTGTAGACCTTGTACTAACACACACACACACACACACACACACACACACAATGTATACTAATTAGATGATTAGAACCAGGCATCCTTTTAATGTATGTTGACGCCTATGAACACTGCATTTATCAGCATTCCTGTTTTATAGATAAAGTGTGCAATACAGTTTCTTTAAAATTTAATAGCATAATTAGAATTTAAACTCAAGAATTTAAACAGATGTTTCATCCAATGTACAGTATTAGGTTTCACCTAATGAAATAATCTAATAAACAAGTTGTGAGTTAGTCAATAATAAAGATATCAAATACTTACATAAAATTTGTTTTACAAAGTCTAGAAAAAATCATGAGCCTGTTAATTCAGAAAAGGAAACAGAATTATGAACGATAAAAGTATCATCTATGTATAGAGAAGTTCTATTTTTAAAAGGTATCCAATGACAACTAATTAAATGAGAAGACACTGGAAAAATTTCCTGAGGTTCTCTGGATCTCTGTGTCAAATACTGCTCATACAAGACATTTTCCTTTTTCCCTGGAATCAAATTCAGGATCTAGTGTTTGCCAGGAAGCCGCAATGCTGTTGAACTATATCCTAGGATTTAGGCATTATTTTTTTAAATTTAAAAAAATTCAAAACAAGATAATAGGAAGGTAACAATGGTTACTACATTACATAGTGTTACTTTAAATCACTCAGAGCACAAGATATTACATGATTTAAGGCATCGTTTAATAAGTGGCATTTGTATCAAGTAACCATTTCTAAATTTATAAAATTCAACCATTTCTAAAGTTCAATAATTTATTGAACTAATGAAATTGTTAGGGAAATTGGATGAAGAATTTGTACTCCAACCACTGAACAAGCAGTTGCATTTTTTCACATAGAGATTAAAAGTTTCTGATGTATGTGCTAATTTCTCATGTACATGGCACTGAATATATTAACATCAACCATGCTTCCAGCATTATATAGCTTTCCCAGAGGCTATTTTTTCTTTCTATATTATGACATAAATAAAAAATTCTTTTTGTGCTAAATATGGCATGCTAGTTAGATTTCCATGACAAAAAAGCTCTACAGTTCACTGAATCAAATAAGAAAATGTCTGAATGCATTTAAATGGTCTTATTTGATTTTAAATGTTAGTGAAAATGCTGATTCTCACTAGAATTAGAATACTAAGGCACAAATAAATGCCACAGAAACTTCTCAGCCATTTTTCTAGGTCAAATGTAGAGAAAACAGAATGTAAGTGTTATATGGAAAGCAGAGTACCAACATAGTATTTGTCCTAGAACATATTTAAGGGGTCTCCAAGTAGTCCGTGGGAATCTTTTTCTTCTTAAGCTAAGGGTAAGAAGTTAGCACAGATCCACATCTCCCTTAGAGTTGTGACCCCAAGACAGCACGATATTTCTGTCCAAAGAAATTCCT